AATCTTGATCCAACCTTAACAGTCGAGACTCTCCGGAATGACAATCTAACCCTAACCTTAACAGTCGAGACTGTCCGGAATGACAATCTAACCCTAACCTTAACAGTCGAGACTGTCCGGAATCACAATCTTACTCTAACTGTAAAGTTGACACTGTCTGGAATCATGATCTAACCCTAACCACAATAGTCAAGGCTGCTCAGAATCATGATCTTACCTTAAGTGTAACAGCTGAGGCTCGATCTTACCCTTATAGCTGGGGCTGTCTGAAATCTTGATCTAATCCTAACCCTTATTGTTGCAGCTGTCTGGAATCCCAATCTAAAATCTGGATCTCTTACTAAACTGTTGCGTCCCTGCCCATGGCAAATGCAAAAAAAGGCCAATGTCATGGGTAGTCTACAGCGAGACAGACAAGAATGAGAACAACTTATGCCTTTTGGCTACCTTTGTCTCTATCCCTTGAACCCCCAAAGACCAAAGGGGCCCATTGTTAACCACTCCACACTCATTCACCCAGAGGAGATGGCAGCGGGTACAGGGGTCCTGCCAGTGACTACGGCTCCCAGAGGTGCATCTGGCTCTGTCTCCTGGGAAACAGGCCACACATGCAACAGCGGTAGCCGACCCCCTGAAGGAGGATGTGCAACTCAGCGGGAGGGAAACTTACAGAACACGCAGGTTTTTCATGCCGGAGAAGTCCACTTTGGTAATCCGGGTAATGTTATTCCTGTCCAGGTCCCTGGAACAGAGGACAGCATGGCGTCAGTAGCTGACTTGTAAACACAATTTTGTTGTTTAAAGACGTATATGAAATGCAGGTACAGCTCACAGGGAGCAGGGTGACATCACACACACACACAGACAGAGACACACATGCATGCAGGCTCTTCTCCTGACAGTGTCCATGCTTAGTGTGTGTTTCTCATAACGTGCATAAACATTTATAAATCTGATTTAAAAGCATATTGTATTTCAAAAGGCTCCTCCGGCATTAGAGAGGGGCACCTTGGACGCCTCTAATGGAAGCCATATTCTAGGCCGAGCTGGGCGGGGGGGCTGCTTCTCTCTTGTTCCCTCCCTCCTGTCCCTTTCTATAGGTTTCTCTCTTTTTCAGCCCCCCTCCCCACACGTACCCTTCTTTGTTTTCCTATTGACTCATTTTTCTGTATGTAATTAATGACTCTAACCCTCAAGCACAAATTATATGAAAGCTGATAAATTAACATTTTTGGATTTTTTTTTTTTTATTCTGACTACCGTATATTAAACAGAGACATTTACCTCATGGGGACATTTCCTGGTTTACAGCATTAGCCATTTTTGTAGGGACATTACTATCAGAAATGTTCCCACAAGGTAAGAAAAGCACGCACATCCCACTCAGTCAAACTCTCTCTCGTTGTTACACACACACACAGTCCACATATTCATATCTTTATGGGGACTCTCCATTCATTTCTATGGCCATATCCTTCAGCCCAACTATGATGAACCTACCCAGCCATAACCTTAACCATAAGTAACCCAACAAAATAAAAATGCCAAAAGTCTTTTTTTATTGCATTCGATTGAGGATGCAGTTGAGGTTGTCCATATGGGTACTAAAAAAATGTCTCCACAATGTAAAAAGTTACAGGTTTTTATCACGTTGTGGGGAAATCAGGTCCTCACAATGTAATAATTACAAACGCACACACACAGACTATCCGCTTTGTATGTGGTGGACACACAGAGGACCTGGCTTCATTTTCCAGAAACATCACCCCTTTGGAGGCATTTTCCCATGAGACCTCTGCAGAACAACACACACTCAAGCAGCCGGGAACCCGAACGGGACGCCCTGTCTGGTATAGGGGCCCACACGGCTGGCCCAGCACAATTCATGAGCCAGGAGTATCCCAGCAGCCCCTGGGTTTGTTTGCCGGGGGTGGGGGGGATAAGCTTGCGGTCCACACCGCAGGTGCCAAGAGCACCGGATATCACTTAGCCAGGCTGACTGCCCTCTGGCCAATCACAGAGCAGCATGGGGTCCAGCCAGGCGAGTGGTTCTTTAAACCGCTAAACAAACTAGTGCAGCTTATTAACTTACCACCCGCCCAAGCCCCCACCAAAGCCCCCCAGAGGGCCACTTCAAAGGCAGAACCAGAGAGGGGAAGAGGCAGGGAGAGGGATAAAATGAAAAGACCGAAAGGAGGGCAAGCAGGAATCCGTTCAGAGGTGAAAACATTTATGAAAACGGTATAAAGGTGTAAAGGTGTTTGTTTTCTGCGACCAGACTCTCCACGTGCTGCGAGGCCCCTTTTCCCTTCCTGTAAACGCTGAACATTATCAAACCCTCTTTGAGCGCAGCATGGGGGCACTTCGGGGGGGAGGTTCGGAGACATTTCGGAAACGCTCCCCTCACGCCCCGCAGGCTAGAGGAATCAGACCCGCGGCGTGATGTTATCGCCGCGTGACAGCGCACCTTCTGCACGGCATGCTGGGTAGGGAGTCATTCCGAGCGGAGATACGGCAGACCTCTGTGATAACGCGGTTAACGCGCTTCGCCGATAAGGGAACTGCAGCCGCATAAACCTAACACTGGCGGGCAGGCGGACGACGGCCCATTCAGCCCGTCAGAGCAACGGCGTAGAAAGCCATTAACGCCTGAGTGCGACAAGCTCAGTGTTTGCCATTTACGAGGGTCAGCTTTCGAGTTTAAATGCTTGGTGCTGTGGCTCGCTGCCCGCTCCTGAGGCTAACCCGTTTGTTGAGGGTGTTGGGTGGACCGCTTCACAATGTAGAGCCACGCAGGGGCAGCGTCCAATAGGATAGCAGGGTCTGAATCCATTTCCCTGCCCACAAAAAATGGCCGTCTTTACTAGCAGGCCATATGCCAGAGAAATAAAAGATCACCAGGAATGCCCTTCACTCCTCTGGGATGCTACAGTGGTTCGTGGGAGCGGGCCGCAAAGCAGGCCTGGCCCGGCCTGGAGCTGTAAAGGCTGGCTGCTTCAAGCTTGGTGCTGCATTCTCACTGTTTACATTTTACAGCCTACAGGTCCTGGAAACAATTAAAGTGGAGCTATTAAACGTAAAGCATTTAGCTTCAGGGTAGAGCAGCGATGACCCCCTGGGATGTGAACCCGCACCTCCTCCCCCAAAAGTTGCACAGCTCACATTGTTGCTGTATGTTATGGCTGCCATTGTTCAGCTCCATGTTCCTTAGGGTTACGATATGCGAGGCAGGCCTTCTCCGCGTCACGCTCACTGGCCGTGTTTCCCACCTCTTGCGGGCGAGGCCAGAGGACAGTTTGCTTTGGCTTTCCCTCCGTTGAAACAGCCAAAATCTCCCGGTTTTTCCTCGAGTTTCTCCTGATAAATGAATCACACAGCTCTCCTGACATCTGGCTTCACCTAACAACGGTCAGAACCTCCCGGAAACAGCAGTCCCGTGTCCTACACGCAGAAGTATACGACGCAGCCGCACTCCGACCACGATCTTTACAAGAACAAATTCCCGTGAACCCAAAGACACGTTTAACTGAACTCCAGGAATCCCCCATACTTCATACACATGATATCGACCAAGCCCCACACTCCAGCCCTGACAGGAGACCCAGCAACTATACATTTTTAGCGCCTTTAGGTTGTGGTTCTGTTAGCCTGAGGTTTCACGTCCATGATGAACCTCTCAGGCTTCCAGCCAGTTCCCCTCTCCTCCCGTCAGCCTTATGCATCTAATTAAATCCCGAAAGACATGACAGGCCACCCCAAATATCTTAATGTCTGTCAGGCCCCCTGGGTGATCGCTGTACTGACGGGCATCTGCCTCCTGCTGTGTAGGCCGTCCATTAACCTACTTCAGCAATAACTACTCAGATGGGCCCTTAGAACACCAGTGGCAAAGCATGCTGGGAGACACAAAGCATCAATGATAAATTCAGAGATGCGATCATTTAAAAACTGTCCCGGTGGTGCTGCAGTGTGCTTCTTCAAGCTGCGGGGGGCACTCTTTCCGAGGAGGTGGCTAAGACACGCGGAGAGCTGACTGTACGGTGAGCGAGCATGGCACCCCCAAGATGTGCCAAGATGCACCATGGCCCCTCCCACCTGATGCTGAGAAACCTCAAGGTTAACAAAGCAGTGGCAAACCTAAAAATCCCACATAAAAATGCGACTTTTTAACAGAGGCACAAGGCCTGCCCCCGGCTATGCTCAGCCTACAGCAGCTCCGGGCCCCCGCAGGATGCACTCCTCTAGCCAAGGAAGCAGCGCGTTTCGGTGGGAAAACAAGCTTCCATATAGACTTCACATTCCCCTCGATATTCCGATGAATTGCCGGCAGCTGGGTAGCTCGTTACCAGCTTACTTGTCTGCTTACCAGGTTAATGGTCTGTTTACCAGGTTACTGGTGAAGAGACCCAACATCAGAGGACCATACAGTTTATTTGGGAATATGAGCTATTATAACCACTCAGGAAAATCCTGGCAGGATTGGTCCCACTAGAGAGTTAGGGGTACTGCCTCCGCAAATGCCAGAAGAAACCTTGTCGAACCCGGGACAGTGCTGTGCGCAGCTCTGTGTCATTCTTGGAGGACTCTTGAATTTTAAGAGCATCTGGACTCCTGGACTCCACTCCCACAAGGCGGCCTTTGATGTAGCGGCTTGTGACTGGGCACCTCGACATGTTTCCCAAGGAGGGTTTCTCACAAAGAGACGGGAACCGCCCTAGGCGTCCATCCCACATGTCCCCTGCAAGGAGGGCTCTGGTCTGCCTGCATGGGGCCACCTGACCCACAGCTACCTGGCGGCCCCCAGCTTGAAGCCCCTCGCCTACTAGCTTGTGTGTCTCATCACGCACGCCGCGGCGGTCAGAGTCGGCGCCGTAACCGCATCGCCGCTGGACCACGACAGGGAGGAATGGGTCCCCCCGTGGTCCCGTCTCCCCGGGGGAGCTCTGATAAGAGCCAGGAAAGGAGGTCTGGGGGTAAAACCGCGTGCTGGCAAGCCTCAATGTCCTGCATTGTTCCTAAAGTGGGCTGAGGAGGACCTACAGCTGGGGGTGTGGGGGGGGGGAGATTTAGAGCGTGCCCTCATGTGTGAGAGAAAAGAAAGAATTTTCTGGGTTACTGACTGCTCTGCATTATACACACACTTAGCGGGTCCAAGAGGCCCTTGAAGAGGCGGCCATCATGTCTGCCATAACTGGTCATGTGTTCTTAATACTCAGTAAATATACGTTTATGGGGAAAGTGGTGTTGCAACGTTGACTTTAGAGAGAGGCCACCCAGCCTGCGTGTGTGCGAGTGTGTGTCCATACATTAACAGTCCATGGTGTCCTCTGGGTAAACACCACTGGTTTGGCCGCCTACATCATGGCTCACGCCCTGAGCGGCCGGTGGCCGGGCCTGGGCCGTCCCACGCGAGCGGGCTACCGGGCTGACCAGCCGTGGCCGACCACGGCGCTCAGTGACCCGGGGCGACGCAGGGGGAGCCAACGCCCAGCTGGCCACGCCCCCGCCCCACCGCATTCCTCATGTTCACGGCGACGTGAAAAGGTCCAACCACACATGCGAGGGGCGGAGGGAAGAAACTTCTGAGTAGGTCAGGAGAAGCAGGGGGCCTTCCTCCGGTCGGCTTCTGATGTCCTTATTTAGCTAGAAAAGCACATCATGATGCGACGCCCACGTTATACAGGGTCTGTGAGGTTTAGCGGGCCCTTGCCTAAAGGAACAGCCCTGTCAGCGGGTGGCGGGGGGGACATGTATTTTTCCCCAGGGCCTAGACTACTGGGGGCCCAGAATGAAAGGTATGTCTTAAGTTATAAAAGATGAAATCTACTGAGAGGGATGCCCCCCCCCGACTCAGTTACCATGGGGGCCCAAGGTGACATTTCGCTGCTTCCAAAGAAAAGGCTTCCGCGTTGGGAACCTATGGTAAGGTTATATCTGGTCATCAGCCTAGGGGTGTTTAGGCTCTATGTTAATATGGACAGGCCTCTTAGCAGAACCCAACCACAGTGGCACCACAACCTCTCCCTCGGCACCCCCAACCCGCTCTCTCCAAAACAAGCTTGTGGTTCTCCCTCCATGTGCACCAAGGTACACACAAGTGCCACGAGACGATTAATCAAGGCTGCATGCTTCATCGGGTCCCTCATCAAGGCCACAGGGGCTGCCTTTTTAAGCGCCCAGGCTTGACAGACGGACCCGCAGACCGTTCCAGGCTAATCTGGCTGCTGGCACCCCGTGCCGACTTTCAGCCGGACCTCCAGTCCAGCACAGCTTCCCCCAGATCTTTGCAGTCGCACAAATCAAGTTTCACTTGGAAACGCCACCATTAATCCAGCATGCCTGTCTCAGTGCTGGACAGGCTCTGTGAGCCTCTGCCTGCCAAATACCCCCCACCTTTCATCAGCTGTCTGTGGGGAAATATACTCATTTAAAGAGGATTTCATCTCTTCTCATCAGAACCATAACTTGTAGTCCAAACATTCAGTTCCCCATAGAAGTAGCACCGCCGTCTCTGATACGCAATCAGCACTTTAAAACGATATACAAAACAAACTGTCAAAAACATGTATTTCAGCTTGAACAACGTAATTTAAGTTTGTTCTCATATGTCCCTAATTTGTTATAGCTGGTGGATTTAAAACGATGCTGTGGATGTTAGCGGATGCCATGATCGTAACGCTCATGCAGTTAGAGATTAAAGTTTGATAATACGAGGACATCGGCTCTATTTTTACCGTGCGAATGACGAGCGTCAACCCAAAGTGCCAGCGAAAATGCTGAAAGCGGCGCCCTTAATTTAGGGAGCGGGCTCTAAGTGCCGCTCTTCAGGGCACCGCATCTGAAGCAGAGATTTCCTTACTTATACCTTTTCATTTATTTGGTAAGAGGGGTTCAACTGCCCAAGGTGAAAACAGGTGTCAGGCAGGTAAAACTCACCGCCGACATTACATTCGTTTCCGAGCAGGGTTATTGAGACATGTAAGTAATGCGTATTTACATTTATTTAGTATATATTTATGTTTGGAGGTCCCTGCGTTAAATACATGCCGAAAGGAGGCAGCGTTCACAAGTGATGTGCCTTATAAATTCATCAGACACCCGGCGGTACTCACAGCCTCTCGGCGCTCCTGGAGATCCCCTTGGGTACGCTCCTAAAGCCCTGAGTCTGGCACTGCACATGGGGACCCGAGCAGCTGCACTTGTGCGGGCATCCGTCCACGGCGATGCCGAGCAGCAGCAGCCCGCACGCAAGCATCGCCGGCCAGCGTGCAGCCTGCGCGTCCGGCAGCATCATCCCGCCCGTCCGCCGAAGGGAAACTTTAACAAAGAAACGTCTCGCAAATCAAAATACAAAAAAATCCGACGGTGGTCGGTGACCTTGTAAAGTCCCTTAATTCCCGCTGATAGGTGAAAACTGGACGCCACCTAATTGATGCGCATGAATGAGTCAAATTAGCTTATTGCAGCTGAGCAACTTCTGATAGAACTCTGAAAACTGACGATAATTTCCACTGGTGATCTGTTGCTTCAGCACCATTGAAACTGAGAGACTGTGGAAAAAAGAGAGAAAACGGAGCAAGAGAAGGTTCAAAAGTTATGAAATGTTAAAAAGCTTCTGTCAAAATGATTATAAATACGGGCAACCAGTTACCCGAATAATGCGCCTTTTCTTCGCTAGTTTTCAAACTTCTGGGTAAAGTTCATTTTGAAAGTTAAAAAAGGCAAAAAGGAGAAATCAAAATAAAAATATTCCCCGGTGTTACCAAAGAGCGCATCTCTTTGCGGACCTCCCGTATAAAATCCTAATTGCAGTGGCACCTCTCCGCTCCCATTGATAAGTATTTTGAAGCCCAGCCTCGGACGGGACCGCGCACCTAGTTTCCAGCCCCCATCTCCTCTGGCCCAGTTTCCTACTGGTTCCTGCCCGCTGATGTCACTGGGTTTTAGGGGGCAGACGTTGCTGGATGTGGGAGCCCGAGCAGCGGGGTATTTCTCCGCAAAATAAGGTTGAGCGAAGGAAGCACGAAACTCGGATTAATGCAAACGGAATGCAAACACTCGGTCATGTTCATCACTTTGACGCACGCAAGCCTTTTCACTTTTATTTAAAAAACAACCATTTTAACGAGTTGAGGAACCGATCGACAGTATGACTGCAATGTGAACGCTCCATTCCGTCTAGGTGATCGTCTTCATGTCTGATTTTAGATTTTTTAATCTTGTATGCCGATCGTGAGGCAGATTATATAATTTATTTTGGTTGTTAAATCGCGAGTACAGAATAGACTGAACACTTAATAATCCCCTTTGAAGTACAACGTACAAATACTGCATCTTCACAAATGTGGGGGGCGAAATCGGTTTGTTATGCGTGTTGAATTTCCTCAGAGCAACCTTCTCCTGGTATTCATACATTTAATATTTTTATGCTTCGGGTTTACAGTTTATTAATTAAATCAGACCCAGTCCAACACACATTACAGAGTAAGGTATGCATTTTCCAACACTTCAACTTTGAATCTCAGTGCAGGTTGCCATTAACCCGAGCAAACTTTAATATTAAACTGGTTGCAAGTTTTGAATCCTCACAGTCTTATCAGGAGCACGTGACACTGATTTTTAAGTGAATCAGCGTGTATTTAATACGATGTTGGCCATTAAACGCATTTTCCGTACGGTCTTCGCCTGCCTCTCCCTCGGCTGCGGCGCCCTCTGTAGGCGTTATGGCTTCATCAGCCTCGGACGTTTCGATTAATACGTTCCACGACAGATTAAACGCCTTGAATGAGCCCGTAACGGGAGACAGCGAAGCCCATAACCTTGATATCACGTCACGGCACTGGTCGGAGAGCTTTTTGGTCCATATATAGCGGGATGTCTCGAATTTTCCCATAAAAATCTGTGATTCGCTGTGCAGGTCAATATGAATTTGGTGGACATTGACCCTATACAGTAGATGCTCGCTTGTGCAGTGGCTCAGAACAGCCCGGTTCCTGCACCACACAAGTTGGACTGAGCATGAAGGGATGGTGTAGGTCTGTCCAACACAGCAGAAAGACGGAAAGGGAGATCTCCTACCCTGAGGCGCCTGAAACATTAAAACAAAAAAAGAGATTAGACTGTATTTATATTACCACTGAATAAAAAGTATAAAACTTTATCAAACAACCAGAGTGAATATTCTTTCATTTTCCTGCTTTTGAGGAAGAAGTAGTGATTGGAGAGACTGAATACTCAATTTTGTGTTTAAATTAAAAACAGATTTTATCTTTTACCTTTCACATATGGTTGGAATTCCACCACACAGCTATTGCGCTTAACCAGCATGCCCCACTGGTGTATTTTTTGTGTGGCACCCTGTTAGACCAGGGGCAAACAGTGAAATACAAAGTGTGTTTTTGCATGTGAGAGAGTCACGCGTGTTCCAGCGGACATCCTGGTAGCTGCTCGTCACCAGCGGAACATCTGAGGCGTCACACTCCACAGCATAAAAACAGGTGGGAATGAACCACCATGCGAAGTGGCGAGATGAAGTCAGAAGGAATGGCAGAAGTCCCGATTTTCCACACTTAAAAAGCCCCGTGAGTGTGAAGAGACAAGGGAAGACAGGAAACAGATGACAGCAGAGGAAGAGGCAGCACGTGGAAGGAGTCTATTCCAGTGCAGAACCTGAGGCCGGGTCCAGTTTGGGCTTCCCTTACACAGCCCTGGGTGATAAAGGTGACCCCTGAGCAAACCTGGGCCCCCTTGATGGGCTGTGAGGTCTGGAGGACCCCCTCCCGACCCCCCGCCATTGTGAACATGTAGTCAGAATGTGGGGGGTTGGCAATGCATGTCGAGTGTTAAAGATCCACGCTGATGGCGTCATACAAATGATGCAATATGCTGGGGAAGAGGGTGGATCGCGTATGTTCTCCTCTCTCCGGCCGTGCTGGAGGTGCTGCAGAGAGTCAGCATGGACGACTGTGTGTTCTGGACGGTCCAAGCAGATCCACTCCTGGCAGGTTGCATGGCCAAGCCACGCAGCGAGCTGTTGGACAGGAAGTGTGTGCATGAGAGAATGTGTGTGTATGTTTATGTGAATAAAAGTGTTTGCATGCACATGGGAGCGTGTGTTGTGCATGAGAGAATGTGTGTGCATGCAATAGTGTGCGTGTGAGCAGATGCATGCTATTGTGTGTGTATGTGTGTGTGTGTGAACGAATACATGCAGTTTTTAGTTAGCTTTTTTTTTTTTAAATGAAAAAAAACTTTTAAGTTTTATTGGTATGGAGTTACATATGCAGGTGCATTTAATTATATGTTGCATTAAAATGAGAGCCAGTGTAAAACATTGTGTATATGTGTGTGTGTGCGAGAGAGAGAGAGAGAGAGAGAATTATGTATACACGTGAATGCATTCAGTGTGTGTGCGAAGTAGATGAGTGTGTGTGAAAGGGCCTTGTGGCTCATGTGGGTGAGGCTGGGAGTGAGCTGCCCACAGAAGGGGTGTTAAACTGGCCTCTCTGGTTCATGTAAAACGCACTTAGCCCAAGGACTCCTGGGACCTGGTGGATGGGATCTGGGGAAACTTGGCAGCGGGAGTCGGGCAGCGAGTGGCAGAGTTTGGCCGGCGTGCCGTCGGACGCAGCAGTCGAACCTCCGCGGAGCACTTTAACAGAGACTCGCATGCAGACTTTCCACCGGTTACGTCCATTTGCCCACCCGCCTTCCTGCCTCTTAGGCTCCCCCACCAATGCAGGAGAGCAGCTCAGAAGAGCCAGCAGAACTCCTCCGGCGCCACACGGTTCTCCCGTGTGTTTCCGTGGCCTGTGTTCTTGGTCCAAAATGCCTGTCTTCCTTATTTTTGTCAAACATGGTAAAGTGATTTGGGAACTGGGAAACAAAGTTGCATCACACGCAGCTACTTGTAAGGAATATCAGTCAAGGATATCTATCATGGATATCTGTCAGGTATATCTATCAGGAATATTTGTAATAGATATTCTGGATTATCTATCAGTGATACCAGTGTAGGATATTGTTGAAGGATATCAGATAGGGATTTTAGTCAGGGTTCAACAGTAGCTAAGGATTTTCTGGGAAACAAAGTTGCATCACACTTATGAAGAATATCAGTCCAGGATATGTATTTGGGATATCAGTAAGGGATTTCATTCAGGATATCTATCAGGGATATCAGTAAGGTATATCAATCAGGGATATCTGTCAGGTATATCTATCGGGAATATTTGTAACAGGTATTCTGGATTATCTATCAGTGATACCAGTTTAGGATATTTCTCAGGGATATCAGTCAGGGATATTGTTCAAGTGCCTGGCACCACTGTTTACCTCGCAGTGATCCGCAGTGGTGGGTATGCATCGAGTGAGCTGGGGTACATGGAGCTACGCTGGTGCCATGTGCCCCGGTGGAGCTGTGATCTCACGCCGTCGGTGTCAGAGTAGTGGTGCTAATCATAACCACATTGACTCATAAAGAAACGCCTTACAGCCCAGAGGTGACAGGGCAGTGCGAGGGTGAGACTTGGCTTGCTATCCCCGCTAAAGGCCTCTGCTGCCAATACCACCCGCCCCTACAGGGCTGGAGCAGCCAGGCAGGGAAACCAAGTCTCGCGTGCTCATCTGTGAAGCTGCTCAGCTGGCCGGGGCGCCGGAGAAAAGAAAAAGAGAATGCTTTCTGACTCGTGCTATCCCTCGTTGTGTGGAACAAACACAAGAAAAGGCATGAATTGGGAAGACATTCAAATGGAAGACCAGATGTTGCCACAGATCTTCTCCTTCAAGTGTGGGACGCCGGCAAACTCCGGCTATCATTGCTCAGTGCCACATCCAGCTGCTGCACTCATGGCACTGACTTTTCACCTTTGACCTTGCCTCCCCTGACCATGTTAGCATAGTGTTAGCATGATGTTAGCACAGCATTAGCATGATGTTAGCGGAATGTTAGCATGGTAACAGCATGGAATCCGCAGTCGCACATGTGGATCGCCTTGTACACGTACTCTCCTCTGCCACCCAGGATCCCTTGTTCCCTTCTGTGACATGCGGGCTGAGCAGCGAGACCGATGCCGGATGAGAGGAGCCGCAGAAATAACAGCAAATCCCAGGAAGTCGAGCCTCGCTGCTTTGGGAAGTTCACAATTAGTGGGCCTCTCATGTGGATGCGTGACGGCGGCCGGCGAGGGCTGAAGCGGTGCTGGTGTGAGCCAGGGCTCTTCCGCTCTCTGTGCCTGGAACAGGATTAGGCTTTAAATAGTTCCACATGCACCTCTAACCCTTACTCTGCCGGCAGGATTTCTTCCTGTAAAACTGGATGATGGATGATCCAATTTGCTCGACAACCGTATGCTGAAATGGACCCTACTTCTCCCTTCTGGTCCCCTACCCTCCTTTCTGACTGAAATGGACCTTTACCACATTTTCTGGTTCAAACAGAATATTACCCTTTCTGAATCTTTGCTGCCATCCTCTTTGGGCAGTGTTTTCTGCTGAAACCTTGAAAGCAGTTTGTTGATGGAATGGGGGAACAGTAAGGGAGGTCATTAAATGTGGAAGGAGACCCTTAATCAGAGGTGTGAGAGGTCCTGCCTGGGGGAGGGGGACTTCAAAGGCTCCTCAGCAGTATCTATCTTGAGGTCCGCTATCAAAGAGGCTGAAATGCAGCCCTAATAGAAATCGAATTTCAAGACCCACAGACAAGTATATGTGGCGAGCAAGGCTGCTGCTAATCGCTCCCAGGCTTGGGACTGCTCAGCGAGTCTGCACTCATTTACGGTTCGGCGATAATCTGTAATCAACGCTAACCTGTGAGATCAGCGCTCGGTCAAGAGTGATACACGCTAGCCTTTGAGTCACTCCTCTGTCATGTGTCAGCCTCAACACGCCTGAGCGTTTATCTCAGACCTCTACAGGTGGTGCAGCTGAACGGGCTTTTATTTTCACACTTAATTCATTTGGATGCCCAAGTGAGCAGGCTAGCCTTGCCTTGCAGGCTGCAGCCTTCGGAATCGTGCTATTGAAGCCCTGTTTCACGTTGGATGTGGTCCAGATATCTCCGTGGCATGTTGCCGTTGAGTTGAGTGCCACTCGGGCCCCTGCACAGTGCTCGTCCCAGGACCCCGACCTGTCCTTTCGGCTGCCTGAACTCCACTCTATTCTCCTTTTCATAAGGACTCAAACCAAGGCCAGCCAAAAGACTAAGAGGTCCTTTGCTACCTCTTCACGCTCTTCACGGGTTTCATTCAAAGGGCCTTGGGCCCAGAGGGCACTGAACAAACAACATGCTCTAAAGCCTGGCCCAGCAGTTTAATTAAGCAGGCTTGGCAAAGCAGTATTAGCTTTTCTGTGAATGGAGATGGGACCGACTAAAAGTTTGGGGACCACGCTGCAGTGCAGAGAGACACTGAGCACTTATTTACCGAGGAGAGACTTTTGTAGCTGTTGTGCTGGAGGCTCATAATGTTCTGGAAGATGGCAGGAATAAAAAGCATGCTTTTGTGCTGATAGGAAGTAGGAAGTGAAGGAGCATGAAGGTGGCAGAGCCCCTGGATAGGTG